AAAAAAAAAAAAAAAAAAAAAAAAAAAAAAAAAAAAAAAAAAGAAAAAGAAAAAACAGTTCCAAGAGGCCCCACTTCATATTCTGACACCTTCAGCAAATCCTGAGATTGGCCAGAGACAGAGTAGAATTCTAGTTTCCACGCCCATTGACCGTAAGTTTTCAGGAACTTCCCTTCTCTGGAGTCCTTTTCCAAGCTGAACCTGCCATGGTGTGGCCCTGGTCTGTGGGCTCTGGGCGGGGAGGTGTGTGCTGGGGAGAGGCACCTGCCCAATCTGGCTTCCTCAGGGCCTGGCCTCTGTCCTGACGTCACCCTGTGCCCTGTGTGCAAACGCTTCTTCTCCTTCGGTGACCCTGCTCATGGCATTCTAAGCCAGTCTATGATACCGGCTTGTCCCGGGCTCAGACAGGGGGGAGGTGAGCAGAGAAGCTCCCCAGCCTGCAGGCCTGACCCCTCTGTGCTCGCCCGCGCCTCTCATCCCCACCTCGTCTCTCCAGTGCAGATCAGCCTGCCCGGCACCATGCGCATAACAGATGCCAATGGCACCGTGTACATAGCTCAGCAGATGCACTTTCACTGGGGTGGTGCGTCCTCGGACATCAGCGGCTCTGAGCACACCGTGGACGGGATCAGACATGTGATCGAGGTACGTGAGGACCCCCACTGTGTCCTCTTTCCTTCGAACCCCGTAGTCACTTATTTACTGACAGATTCTCTTCTCACTCTGTCACCCAGGCTGGAGTGCAGTGGCGCAATCTCAGCTCACTGCGGCGTCTGCCTCCTGGGTTCAAGTGATTCTCCTGCCTCAGCCTCCCAAGTAACTGGGATTACAGGCACATGCCAGCATGCCTGGTAAGTTTTGTATTTTTACAAAACATTGGCTGGACGGGGTTTCACCATGTTGGCCAGGCTAATCTCGAATTCCTGACCTCAGGTGATCCACCCGCCTCGGCCTCCTAAAGTACTGGTATTACAGGTGTGAGTCACAGTGCCTGGCTGTCACTTTTCTTATTAAAATAGCCAAGGCCGGGTGAGCTGGCTCACGCCTATAATTCTGGCACTTCGGGAAGTCAAGGCAGGGGAATTGCTCGAGCCCTAGAGTTCGCAACATAGCAAGATCCTGTGTCTACAAAAAAATAATAATAATAATAAATTATCCTGGAGTGATGGCACATGCGTATAGTTCCAGCTTCTGAGGAGGCTGAGGGGGGAGGATCGCTTGAGGCCAGGAGGTTGAGGCTGCAGTGAGTCCTGATTATGCTCCTGCACTCCAATCTGAGGGACAAAACAAACAAAAACAGCCAAAAGACTCTGTGCAATGGTAGCAGTTAAGTCATCCTGAAGTTTTATTTTTTATTCACTCGACAGCTATTGACTGGTCGCCACTCTGTGACCAGGGTACAGGCAAGCTCCTGCCCTCGCAGAACTGAGGCTGCAGGACAACAGCCCACAGGGTGTGGCGAACTCTCCTTTGTTTCTGCTGGATTTCTATGTGTTAGATTTTCTTTCCTTTTCTTTTTCTGAGATGTAGTTTCACTCTTTCGCCCAGGCTGGAGTGCAGTGGCGTGATCTCGGCTTGCTGCAACCTCTGTCCCCTGGGTTCAAGTGATTCTCCGGCCTCAGCCACCAGAGAAGCTGGGATTACGGGCACCTGCCGCCACGCCCAGTTAATTGTTTAGTAGAGCTGGGGTTTCACCACGTTGGCCAGGCTGGTCTCCGTCTCAAACTCCTGACCTCAAGTGATCCGCCCACCTCGGCCTCCCAAAGTGCTGGGTTACAGGCATCAGCCACTGCACCTGGCCTGTGTTAGATTTTCTGAGTTCCCTCTTTTGCCAGAATTCATCTTTAAGATGACATATAATTTAACAGTGGCTGTCTGGGACAAGGGGGTACAAGCTCGCCCTCCCACAAACCCCCAGACACTCCAGGAGAACCCCAGCTCTGCCAACTCGTCTGCCTGGAGGGAGGTGTGGTCAGGGAAACACCCTGGAACTGCCATCTTCCAGAATTCCACTCTTGTTCTTCCCATTCTTGGGGAAGTTTCTAGTCATGATAGATGGGATTTGCAGTCCAGAGGGAGGGAGATGGAGGTCCAAGTTGCTGGTGTAGAATGGTCTGAGGCCTCAGATGGAGCCCGTTTCTTTCTCCTCCTTCTTCCCTGGAAACCTTAAGCATTTGAATTGCTGTGAACTGCCCTTGACCCACCCTACCTTGCTCTTACAGATTCACGTTGTTCACTACAATTCCAAATACCAGAGCTATGAGGCAGCCCAGGAGGCGCAGGACGGCTTGGCTGTACTGGCAGCGTTCGTTGAGGTAAGCAGAAACCACCCACGTGTGTCTGCATCTGAAGTTATGGGTAGATGTCCAAACAAGGTGTGAAGTCTGGTTGAACAGTCTTCTTTATGATCACTCTTCATCCTCTCCCGAGTTCACAGTTCTTGGAGACATTGACTGGAGGAAGATCGACCCTCTTCTTCCAGCTCCTGCTCACGGTCACTGTGCTCCTTCTGTGTCATTAATCTCCAGACCTTGGTGAACTTGGGCAAGCTGACTTAAAAGAGCTGGAATCACGGAGGGGTCGACTAGACACAGATGGTCTGAAGGGCAAAGGGAAACCTGCAACCCAATCAGACAAAGGCAACACCTCTGCATTTCTATTTTTTTTTGAGATGGAATTTCACTCTTGTTGACCAGATTGGAGTGCAATGGTGCAGCCTTGGCTCACTGCAACCTCCGCCTTCCGGGTTCAAATGATTCTCCTGCCTCAGCCTCCCGAGTAGCTGGGATTATACACACCTGCCACCACACGCGGCTAATTTTTTATTTTTAGTAGAGACAGGGTTTCACTATGTTGGCCAGGCTGGTTGAGAACTCCTGACTTCAGGTGATCCACCCACCTCAGCCTCCCAAAGTCCTGGGATTACAGGCCTGAGCCACCGCGCCCGGCTAACATCTCTGCATTTCTGGTCAGGAGTTCGAGACTAGCCTGACCCACATGACAAAACTCCATCTCTTCTAAAAATACAAAAATTAGCTGGGCATGGTGGCAGGAGCCTATAATTCCAGCTACTTGGGAGACTGAGGCAGAAGAATCACTTGAACCTGCGAGGTGGAGGCTACAGTGAGCTGAGATCCTGCACGCCAGCCTGGGCAATAAAGCTGGACTCCATCTAAAAAAAAAAAAAAAAAAAAAGGCCAGGCGTGGTGGTTCATGCCTGTAATCCCAGCACTTTGGGAGGCCGAGGTGGGCAAATCACCTGAGGTCAGGAGTTCGAGACCAGCCTGATCAACATGGAGAACCCTGTCTCTACTAAAAATACAAAACTAGCAGAGAGTAGCGGCACACATGCCTGTAATGCCAGCTACTCGGGAGGCTGAGGCAGGAGAATAGCTTGAACCCAGGAGATGGGGGTTGCAGTGAGCTGAGATTGTTCCATTGCAGTCTAGCCTGGGCAACAAGAGTGAAGCACTGTCTCAAAAAAAAAAAAAAAAAAAGTCTAAAGGTGGGACTTCAGGCTAAGTGAGTGGAATAGGCAGGAATCCAATCCCCCCAAAACAAGTATTAAATTAGATAAAATTGTAAAAAACCCCACCATTTCAATGCTCTGGAAATGGATCCCAGGCAACCAGCAAATTGAGACATTTATTCATGAAAAATGGCTAGAATTGGGTAAGAGTAATGAATGTCTGTAGATGTCTTTCCTGGGGATGTTCCCATCCGCACCCCCTAACTTGGTCAGCAAGTTAGTTTTATCAGGCAAAGCTGGTCAGGACAACCAGCAGCTTCACTGCCTGGGCAGGGGAGCTGACTTGATTTGGGGTGGAAGTTGAAAACCATGCTCAGGAATAATGTCTGTAAAAGTGGTAAGCTTGACAGAAAACACAGAAAGCAAACAGGAAAAACTTGCAGCTCTGAGAGTCTGAGGTTACAGTCCCAGTTACAGCGAATAATGAGTGAGAAACAAGTCAGAAATTTAAGGGAGAAGATCCTGGAAAGGAGAGAGAGACAGAAGGGCTACATAAACACCCTAACAGAGTCTGATAAAAAGTCAAAGCTGAAGCCAACATGAGAACTAGCTGAACTTTGAATGTGCTTCGAAACCTACACACAGATCCATCAGGATGAGTCCTAGGGGCTCAAGGGGTTTGAGCACAACTTCTGCTCAAATCATTTTACTGACCACAAAGCTATGTTGACTGTAGGTAGCTCCTAGGAATTCAGCCCCCAAGAATACAAATAAAATTTAAAAGCTGAGCACAGACATCGTGCTTGGGAGACAGAGCCTGCAGACTAAGTCCAGACAAGTCACTAAATAAACACACACGTGGAATGCTGGAGGACAATTACAAAAATCAGAATCAGGACTTGCTGCCATATATTATCTAAAACATCCAGTTGGCAGCAATAAAAGTTGGGCAGGCAGGCTGGGCACGGTGGCTCACACCTTAGTCCCGGCACTTTGGGAGGCTGAAGCAGGTGGTCACCTGAGGTCAAGAGTCTGAGACCAGATTGGCCAGCATGGTGAAACCCCATATACACTAAAAATATAAACAATTAGCCATGCACGTGCCTATAGTCCCAGCTACTCGGGAGGCTGAAGCAGGAGAATCACTTGAACCCAGGAGGCAGAGGCTGCAGTGAGCCAACATAATGCCACTACACTCCAGCCTGGGTGACAGAGTGAGACTTCATCAAAAAAGTTGAGCATGCAAAGAAATAGAAAAATGTAATCCATACTTAATGAGGGGAAAAAGACCCTGAAAACAATCAATAGAATCTGACCTGAGTGGACACAGAATGATTAGGAGACAGGACTTTAAAATAACTGTCATTGCTGTGGCTAGGAGAAAAATAAAATAAAAATAAAACAACTATCATAAATGTTTGAAGAGTGAAAAGAAGCTATGTTCAAAGAATTCAATGAAAATATGATGACAATGACTCTAAAAAGGGAATTTCAGTAGAGAAAAAGAAACTTTGAAGAGGCACAAAATGGAAAGCCTAGAGTTGAAAAGTACAATAAACAAAGTGAAAAAATCACTAGATGAGCCCAAAGCAGATGTGAGGCAGCAGAAGAAAAAAAGAATCAATGCATTTGAAGATAGAGCAATGAAAGTATCCAATCTGAAAAACAGAGAAAAGAGAAGAAAAATGAACAGAGACCAGAAATCTAGCAACCTGAAGCAGCATGGCCAAGCCTTGTGGGAAGTGCCTGAGCAGGAGGCCCGCAAACAGGTGGAGGTCTTCAGGCAGAATCTTTTCCAGGAGGCTGAGGAATTCCTCTACAGATTCTTGCCACAGAATATCATATACCTGAATCAGCTCTTCAAGAAGACTCCCTCAGTGTGGCTGACCTGACTTCCCTCCAGGCCCCACCGGACATCCCCATCCCAGATCCTCCACCCAAGGATGACGAGATGGAAACAGATAAGCAGGAGAAGAAAGAAGTCCCTACATGTGGATTTTTCCCTGGGAATGAGAAGGTCCTGTCCCTGCTTGCCCTGGTTAAGCCAGAGGTCTGGAATCTCAAAGAGAAATGCATTCTGGTGATCACATGGATCCAGCGCCTGGTCCCCAAGATTGAAGATAGAAATGATTTTGGGGTAGCAATCCAGGAGAAGGTGCTAGAGAGGGTGAATGCTATCAAGACCAAAGTGGAAGCTTTCCAGACAACCATTTCCAAGAACTTCTCAGAATGTGGGGATGCTGTGGCCAAGGCCTCCAGGAGACTCCTGTGATGGATTACCGGGCCTTGGTGCACGAGCGCGATGAGGCAGCATACGGGGAGCTCAGGGCCGTGGTGCTGGACCTGAGGGCCTTCTAGGCTGAGCTTTATCATATCCTCAGCAGCAACCTGGAGGAAACTGTCAACCCAAAGGGTGAAGAGAAGCCATCTATGTACTAAACCCAGGGCTAGAAGGAAAATAAATGACCTAAATGAAAAAAATGAACAGCCTTATAGATTCATGGGGACAAAATCAAGCATAGCAACATATATATAATGGGAGTCCCAGAAGGAGAGGAGACAAAGTGGAAAGAACAAAACAATGGCCAAAAGCCTCAAATATGAGGAAAAACGTAAATGATCAATCCAAGAAACTAAAGAAAACCCCAAGTCTGATAAATAAACCCCAAGACTAGATACATCAAAAATCAAACTGCTGAAAGCAGCAAGAGAAGAGGGATTTATTACATGTAGGGCAATGACAGTACAATTAATGGCTGACTTTTCAAGTCATCAGAACACAGTGGAATGACTGTCAACCAAGAACTCTATATCCAATAAACTAACCTTCAAAATTGAAGGTGAAACCAAGATAGTCCCAGATATACAAGAATCAGTGTAATTGCTAGCAGACCTATCTCACAAGACATATAAAAGAACATTCTTCTGGCTAAAAGAAAATGATACCAGACAGTAACTCAGATCCACAGAAAGGAGCGAAGTGTACTGGAAATGGAAAATGGAAAAGACTACATACATTTTTTATGTGTGTGTTTTCTTCTTTTAATTTCTTTTTAAAAACCCTTAAGATTATTTAAGGCAATGACTATACCACTGTATATACCACTGGCTTCCAATATATGTAGATTTAATGCGTATGACGAAAATAGGAGAAAGGATGAGGAAGAAATGGAGCCTTTTTGAAGCAAGGTTGCTTTTACTGAAATTAAAAATACTAACCTGACCAAGATTGTGATTGAATTGTATACGGCAATCACTTGAGCAACTACTAAGAAAATAATTAAAATGATTAAATGGTACATAAGAAGTATTTGCTTCACACAAAAGAAGGCAGCAAAGGTGGACCAATGGAACAAAAATGGCACGAGACATCCAGAAAACAAATAGGAAACGCAGTCATAAAGCCAAGAAAGCCAAATTTATACATGGTGAAAGAGACTTGAATCAGCACCGCTTGACTGAAAATAGCCATTCAAAATAGGCCTTTTTCACCCAAAGCAACTTTTCTGACCTTTAAAGTCAATACTCACACAGAAAAGATTGATCTAGTGTTAAGGGAACTGCAGTTGTTTTACCCCGGACTTCCAGCTCTCTGTTGGAATTCCTGAGGATGAAGAAGGGAGCTCATGAGATGAAGCTCTCCTCATCACAAAGAATCTGACTGTGGTTGACACTGACCAAAACAAGCACACAGGCCGGGCGCGGTGGCTCACGCCTGTAATCCCAGCACTTTGGGAGGCCGAGGTCGGTGGATCACGAGGTCAGGAGTTCGAGACCAGCCTGGCCAACATAGTGAAACCCCATTTCTATTAAAAACACAAAAAAATTACCTGGACATGGTGGTAGCTGCCCGTAATCCCACCTACTCAGGAGGCTGAGGCAGGAGAATCGCTTGAACCTAGGAGGCAGAGGTTGCAGTAAGCCAAGATCGTGCTGTTGCACTCCAGCTTGGGCAACAGAGCAAGACTCTGTCTCAAAAAAAAAAAAAAGAAAAGAAAAGAAAAGAAAAACAACAACAAAGAAAACAAGCACACAGGACATTTTTTTAGAGTAACTATTGGCCATTTCTGAGGGCATCACCAATGACCGAGAAGCTTCTTTCCCTGGAAGCTGCCAAAATAGTTTAGATAGTGCCTTTCTGGAAAGACGCATGAACCTGTGCAGTTGGTAGCAAAGAACACTCAGATTGTCTCCGTCAAAACACAGCAGGGGCACAGGCTGCCTCCCCTTACTGTCTAGGCTCTGCCCAATCAGCCAGAAGGATTGGTAGAGATGGTGGGCTGGGGCCTCTTCTTCACTCATGCTCAGTGCCCTGTGTTTTTGCAGGTGAAGGATTACCCTGAAAACACCTACTACAGCAACTTCATTTCTCATCTGGCCAACATCAAGTACCCAGGTAAGGGAAGCCAACTGCGGCTGCGGGAGGGATGGGAGTGAGCTCAAGTGTGAGTGTGGGGTGGGCCCAGGGGACAGGGGACTGGTGCTGATGGGGAGGGTAGCCAGTGGGCCTGCCAAGGAGTCCGCCCCTCCCTGTGCAAGGTCACTTGTTCCAGTGATTTCTGCTGTTGGCTTAGGCAGCAAACTTCTCTGAGAAACCTGCTCATAAATTCTGTGTCAATTCTCATGACTAGAACTTCTGGTGGGAGTTCCACTAAGTAGGGATAGCCTCACTTCGTTGACTCTCATCCCAGCTGGCAGTGACAGTCCTGGCCGCTAGAGAGATGTTCACCCTGGTTCCAAGCCGAGATGAATGTCAAGAGCAAAGCCACTCGTCATCCCACTTGGACAGACAGACACTCGGGTTGTTCTTCCACCCGCTCTGCCTCCAGAAGGCCGCATTCTTATGAGAGCAATCTCCTTCCCAGGGTCAATGCTAGACCTTGAGCTATGACCACATCGGCTCTGCATCCTCGACCTCACACATCCCGTTCTGACCCCACCTCCCAGCCTCCCAGTCGTCCGACTTCAGCACCCAGCTCCTCCTGCAACTCACCTGACCCGGGTCCTCCAACCCTGGGGCTTCTGCAGTCTTGCTCCTGGTGACACCTGGTCCTTTCATCTCTCTCCCAGCTTAGATTCCAACACTCTCAAGGGCCGCTCAGCACTCCCATGCAAACACGCTCTCTATCTTCACCCCTCCACCCCTCCATAAACTCACCTGGCAAAGCCCAGACCAACTCAGAGCTGGCAGCCAAAGAGCTGAATGCAGCTGGACAGAAATCCATAGACAACTAGGCTGGTATTATTATAATTATTATTCCCCTCCCCTCCCCTTTCCTTCCTGATGGAATCTCGCTCTGGAACCCAGGCTGGAGTGCAGTGGCTCAATCTCGGCTCACTGCAACCTCCACCTCTTCGGTTCAAGCGATTCTCCTGCCTCAGCCTCCCGAGTAACTGGGATTACAGGTGCCTGCCACCACACCCAGCTAATTTTTGTGTTTTTAGTAGAGACTGGGTTTCACCATGTTGGTTGGTCTCGAACTCCTGACCTCGTGATCCACCTGCCTCAGCCTCCCGAAGTGCTGGGATGGCAGGTGTGAGGCACTGCGCCAGGCCGGATTCTGCATTTATAGCTGCTGCCCACCCACTGCTCAATAAGCCCAAACCAAGGCATTTTGGTCTTTCTTTGAGGGCACTTACCCAGACGCCTCCAGAGGCTATATTTCTGTCTTTCACTGATCATAAAATGTATCCTCTGCCTAGCCATGCTAATGGTGACCGCGGCAGTTACACTTCGGAGTACTTCCCTATGTACCAGTTCAATGCTAGCTGCTTTCCAGTGTTATTCCCCCTTCCCTCATAGCAATTCTGCTGATTATTCCCTTTTTACAGATGAGGAAATGGCCGCGGAATGAGCACCCGGCCAAGACCGCTCAGCCAGGAGGAGGTGGCTGAGTGCATCTTTCCCAAAGCCTGTCCTCTCAATCCCTTCCAGGGAGAAATACACTGGGAAATTGTTTCCTGATCATCAGCTTCTATGTTCTGCTGAACTCAAGAGATTGAATCAGGCGAGGCCTGGGCCTGAGCTGTCCTCCTGAGGGGCAGCGGTGGTCCCTGACATTCTATCACCTTCTGTCTTTTTGGTTAGGACAAAGCACAACTCTGACTGGCCTTGACGTTCAGGACATGCTGCCCAAGAACCTCCAGCACTACTACAGCTACCAGGGCTCGCTCACCACTCCTCCCTGCACCGAGAACGTCCATTGGTTTGTGCTGGCAGATTTCGTCAAGCTCTCCATGACGCAGGTAGTGTATGGTGTCGCTTTGCCAAAGTCTTGCTCTTTGACTGCCTAGTTAACAAGACTGTTCCTAGAATCTCAGCTAACGTCAACAACGGGGGATCCTATGGCATTTTCTGCGTGCAGGGCCACTGTGCCTCACCTACCCAACCATCTTTTCTCTTTTTTTTTTTTTTTTTTTTGAGACAGAATCTCGCTGTGTCATCAAGCTGGCGCACAGTGGTGCAATCTCAGTTCACTGCAACCTCTGCCTCCCGGGTTCAAGCAATTCTCCTGCCTCAGCCTCCCGAGCTGGGATTACAGGCATGTAGTAGGGACGGAGTTTCACTGTGTTTCCCAGGCAGGTCTCGAACTCCTAGGTTCAAGCAATCTGCCTGTGTCAGCCTCCCAAAGTGCTGGGATTACAGGTGGAAGCCACTGCGCATGGCCATCTCCTTTTCTTAATTTTCTTAGAAAAAGGTGGAAAAGACCCCTGCTCAAGGACACCCACACCCCAAAATGTTCCCAATCAGGCTGGAAGTGTCCCCAGGCACCTGACAAAGCAAATGGTCAATTATCTCCAGAAAAATGAACTTAAATCCAGACCTAGAAGAATTTTCACAAAGTTACCTGAAATTAGCTCAATTAAGGAAAAAACCCCACAAAACATATGAGAAAAAAAGACATTATAAATGAGAACCAGCAGATTCAGACCTACAAAGATTTCAGTTAGTGGAATTATCAATTAATATGACATAAGAATATTTGGTATGTATAAAAAAATAAGAGGTTCAATTATGAGAAATGAATGAAAAAATATTAAAATGGGCAGCCAGACTTGGGAAAAAACCCAAACAGAATTTCTAGAAATGGAAAAATAGTATCAAGAATTAACAATCCATGCCTATTACAGTGTATCACACCTATAACCCCAGCACTTTGGGAGGCCAGGAGTTCAAGATCAGCCTGGCCAAGATGGTGGAACCCCTTCTCTACTAAAAGTATAAAAAATTAGCCAGGTGTGGTGGTATGTGCCTGTAATCCCAGCTACTTGGGTGGCTAAGGTGGAAGAATCGCTTGAACCCGGGAGGTAGAGGTTGCAGTGAGCTGAGATTGCACCACTGCACTCCAGCCTGAGTCACAGAGCAAAACTCTGTCAAAAAAAAAAAAAAATGTCTAGGAATGGTGGCTCATGCCTGTAATCCCAGCACTTTGGGAGGCTGAGGCGGGCAGATAATGATGTTAAGGGTTCAAGACCACCCTAGCCAACATGGTGAAACTCTGTCTCTACTAAAGATACAAAAAATTAGCCGGGCGTGTTGGGTGGCACACCTGTAATCCCAGCTACTCGGGAGGCTGAGGCAGGAGAATTGCTTGAACCTGGGAGGCAGAGGTTGCAGTGAGCCTAGATCACACCGTTGTACTCCAGCCTGGGCGACAGGGTGAGACTCTGTCTCCAAAATAAATAAATAAATAACCCAATGAATGTGTTTAACAGCATGTTAGATACAGCTTGAGAGAGAATTAGTAAATTGGAGACAGCCAATAACGTTATCTAGAATGCAGCACAAAGAGAAAAAGAGATGGAGCTACAGAAAGAAGTGAAGCAAGGTAGTATAGAGGAAAGGTCTAGCAAATGTCTAACCAAAATCCTAGAAGAAGAGAGGCAGAGCAGGGAAGAGGCGTGATTTGACAAAATACTGGCTGACAATTTTCAGGAAGAGATACCAAGTCATATATTCAAGAATGCCAATTAGTTTCTCTGTCTCTCTCTGGGTGTGTAAAGATACATGTGTGTGAATACCCAACACCCTACGTTAAACCCATCACAGTGAAACCATCAGTGACAAAGAAACAATTTAAAAATCAGCCAGAAAGAAAAGATAGATTGTCACGAAAAGAGGATTATTAGAGAGTTGATTCAACATAGCAACAGTAAAAGTCAGAAGGGAGTGGAAACATAATTCCAAAGTGCTGAGGAAAATAAATAGCCAGCATAGCATTGTATGTGCAGCAAAAGTACCTTTTAAGGACATAGACAAAATACAGACATTTTCAGGCTGGGTGAGGTGGCTCACGCCTGTAATCCCAGCACTATGGGAGGCAGAGGCAGGCGGATGGCCTGAGAAATTTGAGACCAGCCTGGCCAACACAGTGAAACCCCGTCTCCACTAAAAATATAAAAATTAGCTAGGCGTGGTGGCGGGCATCTGTAGTCCCAGCCAGTTGGGAGGCTAAGGCAGGAGAATCATTTGAATCCGGGAAGCAGAGGTTGCAGTGAGCCGAGATTGCACCACTGCACTCCAGCCTGGGCAACAAAGCGAGACTGTCTCAAAAAACAAACAAACAAAAAAACCAACCAACCAAACAAACAAAAAACAAAAACAACCAAACAAAAAAAAACAGACATTTTTTAAAAACAAAAACTGAGTCTGCCACTTGATATATTTCTGCTTACTTCTTTCTCTCCTTTGGACTATTGGACAAAGACTCATATAAAAAGCTGAAAAGACTGTGTGCGAGTACCTGCTGGAAGAACGCACGGCGAGACGAGCTCCGGAGTAATGCCTTTCACCAGCACCCAGAACCTCCCTGGACTTGAGATCTTCTTACAGTCACTTTATCAGGGTTATATAAATCCAAGCTCTAGCCCGGTTGTTAATTTTTTTTTTTTTTCTTGAGACAGTTTCGCTCTGTCTCCTTGGCTGGAGTGCAGTGACATGAAATTGGCTCACTGCAACCTCTACCTCCCAGGTTCAAGCAATTCTCCTGCCTCAATCTCCCGAGTAGCTGGGATTACAGGTGCACGCCACCGTGCTCGGCTAATTTTTGTATTTTTGGTAGAGAAGGGGTCTTTCCATGTTGGCCAGGCTGGTCTCTAACTCCTTTGCTCAAGTGATCTGCCCGCCTTGGCCTCCCAAAGTGCTGAGATTATAGGCATTAGCCATGTGCCCGGCCAATTGTTACTTCCTTTCAAAGAGGCACCCAGTGCCTCTTTCCCTCTCTAATGCACTTACATTGCCCCAGGTTTGGAAGCTGGAGAATTCCTTACTGGATCACCAAAACAAGACCATCCAGAATGATTATCGCAGGACCCAGCCGCTGAACCACAGAGTAGTGGAATCCAACTTCGTGTACCTCCCAAATCAGGGTGAGTGGGATCGACTCTTGTTTACGTTCTGCAGTTGGTTAACTCCTGTTCTGCTCCTTCCTCTAGGTGGACCCGTCTCTTCTGGCACTAGTAAGGGAAGGAGAGTCATTTCAGTAGCAGGCGGCCCACATGGGCCAAGCTGCACAGGACTCGGGCAGAGGGTGATCACTTCTTCCCAGTCCAGGCAGGGACGCCATTGAATAGAACACAAGAGACATCAGGAGAGACAACTGCGTGATTTATCACCTACCTAGTCTTGGCTAGAGACTGTAGGAGAAGCAAGATGACTGCAACATCCAGAAGCTCTCATAAGAGTGTAGGTTCAAGTCACATTTTTGTTTTGTTGTTTTGTTTTTTGAGACAGAGTCTAGCTCTGTCGCCCAGGCTGGAATACAGGCTGCAATCTTGTCTCACTACAACCTCCACCTCCTGGGTTCAAGCGATTCTCCTGCCTCAACCTCCCCAGTAGCTGGGATTACGAACACCCGACACCAGGGCTGTCTAATTTTTGTATTTTTAAAATAGCAATGGGGTTTTGGCACGTTGGCCAGGCTGGTCTTGGACTCCTGACCTCAAGTGATCCAACCACCTCGGCCTCCCAAAGTGTTGGGATTACAGGCGTGGGCAACCATGTCCAGCCAAGTTAACCTTGTTAACCCCACTCAGGTTATTTCCTGTGCATCTTGATCTTAGTCTGTGTTATGAACCCACCCCCAACGCCTCCTATACATTCTCTCAAGGTGGGGTTAACTAGACCACATAGAGTTTACCGCATCTGCTTGGGGTGCAGGCCCCAGACCCCAGCGTGCTGGAAGTAGGCGGGCAGTCCAGCCTCCACTGCATCCTTGAATTCCTTAGATTGGGCTCCAACTGTGTCCTTGCCTCACCTCATTTCTGTGTTGGCAAGAATGTAAATATTTCATAACTTCATCTTCCTTTTGTCTTTCTGTAAAGTTATAGTGAACTGTACACAGTCCCTGAAGCCATTGTCTTTACAACCCATTCTGTTAACCATTCCCAATACTTTTACATTTTCCAATACGGTAGAATCAGTTTCCTCTCAACATTGTTGACTCAATATTATCCCACTTGTTTTTTTGAGATGAGATCTCACTCTGTTGCCCAGGTTGGAGCTCAGTGGCACAATAGTTCACTGCAGCCTCAACCGTCCAGGCTCAAGCGATCCTCCCACCTCAGCCTCCCCAGCAGTGGGGACTGCAGGCACACACCACCTCACTCAGCTAATTTTTTTTTGTATTTTTTTTAGAGATGAAATCTCACTATGTTGCTCAGGCTGGTCTCAAACCCCTGGCCTCAAGCAGTCTTCCCACCTCAGCCTCCCAAAGTGCTGGAATTGTAGACATGAGCCACCTCGTTTGGCCTTACTTCATCTTTATATGTACCTTTTAAAACTTTTAAATTTCCACCCTCCACTCCAATAAGGCCCATTTGTGATTTTCTTCCCATCTTTCCTTCCTGGTTCATTTACTGTTTACTCTTGTATCAGCGGACTCCTCCAATACAATACTAACAGAGGGAAACAGACATCAGCTATAGTGATCATTCCCTGTATTATTCCGTGTACGACGTTAACAGCAAGAATCCCTTTTTCCAAAGGTGATGTCCTTTTCAACAGGTCCAGTTGCAAGCAGGCTGAACAAAGGGAGCTTAGACTCATGGGTCTGTCTCCTAGTTTTTTAAATTTTTTAATTTTTTGAGACAAAGTCTTGCTCTGTTGCCCAGGTGGGAGTGTGGTGGCACAATCTCGTTGGCTCACTGCAACCTCCGCCTCCCAAGTTCAAGGGATTCTCCTGCCTCAGCCTCCCGAGTAGCTGGGATTACAGGTGGTCGCCACTACCCCCAGCTATTTTTTTGTATTTTTAGTACAGAGAGGGTTTCACCATGTTGGCCAAGCTGGTCTTGAACTCCTGACCTCATGATTCACCCATCTTGGCTTTCCAAAGTGCTGGGACTACAGGGCATGGGCCACCACACCTGGCCTAATTTTTGCATTTTTAGTGGAGATGGGGTTTCACCATGTTAGGCTGGTCTTGAACTCCTGACCTCATGATTTGCTAGCCTTGGCCTCCCAAAGTGCTGGGATTACAGGCACACTCCACCACGCCTGGCTAATTGTTGTATTTTTAGTAGAGACGGGGTTTAACCATGCTGGCCAGGCTTATCTCGAACTACTGACCTTAGTTGATGCAACTGCCTGGCCTCCCAAAGCATTGGAATTATAGGCATGAGCCACCACACCGGCCTGTCTCCTAGTTCTCAATGTTGCCATGTTTCCCGTGCTATCCCTAAAGTAATTTTAGGCTATTCAATAGGCACTAACAGACTGCATATCTTTCCCTATGCCACGTCTGAAATACTTTTTCCACTAGAGGGTCACTCTAGCGTCTCCTCACGAGGGAGCTCAGACTCAGGCACTCCATGCTGTGATTTGCCTGGAGGTCCACTGAGAATCGCTGTTTAGGATTTATTATTTCAACTCCCAGTACAGCATCAGAGGGCTTCCCGACCCTCAGGGAACCTGAATTGTGGCCTCCCTTTGCTCATTATAAAATAGAGGACTGGCCATCATCTTGGCCCACCTTCTCTCAGGCCCGGATTTTTCTTTTCTTTTTTTTTTTTTTGGGACAAAGTTTCGCTCTTGTTGCCCAGGCTGGAGTGCAATGGCACAATCTTGGCTCACTGAAACCTCCACCTCCTGGATTTAAGTCTCAGCCTCCTGAGTAGCTGGGATTACAGGCATGTACCACCATGCCCTGCTAATTTTGTATTTTTAGTAGAGATGGGGTTTCACCATGTTGGTCAGGCTGGTCTCGAACTCCCGACCTCAGGTGATCCACCCACTCGGCCTCCTGAAATGCTGAGATTACAGGCATGAGCCACTGTGCCTGGCCTCAGACTTTTTTCTTTTTCTCTTTCTTTTTTTTGAGACAGGGTCTCACTCTTTAACTCAGGCTGGAGTACAGTGGTGCTATCTTGGCTGACTGCATCCACGACTTCTAGGGATTAAGCAATCCTCTGACCTCAGCCTCCCAAATATCTGGGAGTAGCATGTACCACCACACCCAGCTAATTTTTTTTTTTTTTGGTAGAGATGGGGTTTAGCCATGTGGCCCAGGCTGGTCTTGAACTCCTGAGCTCAAGCAATTCATCCACTTCAGCCTCCCAAAGTGCTGCAATTACAGGCATGAGCCATTGTGCCTGGCCAGATCCAGGTTTCTATGTAGCAGTGATTGACTCTGGTCAACCTAGCTGCGTGACTCATGGTATTTACCCCAGCGGGGTTGATATGATTAACCCACCCACAAGGAATGACCTGAGAAACCAAGGTCAGTTACAAAAACAAGACAATGTCCAAATACGGAGCTCTTGCAATGTATTTACTAGAAAACACGTATATCTCCTCAGGTGAGGGGCACTGGGCATCCCAGAAGAGACCAAAGCCAAGAATACAACCCTCCTCAACATGCCACGCTTGGCTCCGGGCGGCTTAGAAGCCTGAGGTCAAACACAGTGAAGATGCTTAAAGCCAATGCAGTGGGCACGTGGAGAGTATTCTAAGGAATCAAAAGACTTCCCCAAAATACGATGCTGGTATGGTGTCTGGCCATCTCCCTTCTCTGTTTTTGTGAGGACTGTACAAGACTTAGCCATTTCCAACTAACTCTTCTTTTTATGGAATATACTCTAGGCTCTGAATTCCAGTTTTATCTACATAAGGTTAAGAAAGATCTTGAATACTTAAGAAAAGCATTGAACAGAGGAAAGACCCAATATTAACTAGCTTGAAGCCAGATCTAACTGGAGGAGGTGCCAGTCCCCTGCAGCCACACCCTGCCCTGTCTAGGAAACCATGTGTGTCTGGAGCACGCTGCTCCCTCTGGGGCAGCTGTTGAGTTTCTGATTAAAAGAGGGGAAATGATCGTCCCGGACAGGAAGTGAGATGGCTTCCATGCATGAGAAGGGATCTGAGTTAGACATCACCAGTGGAAATTGATTGGAATAGAAATTTAAAGGAAATAGAACCCTAACTATTCTCCCATCAAATCATACATGTTGACCTGTCTAAATTATAAACCAGCCTGAACTTTCCTTTAGCATTGGATGTAATAAAATAATTTTGGAAATTTGTCATTGAAAAATGTCTTTTCAATATCCCTTCTTTGTCCTGCCTGCCCCCCTCCCCCTCACACACACAGGTGAGGGGATACAGATCAAGGTGGGAGGGATTTTCCAAGACTAAGACTAATGAAAAGGAGAGGGTTTTTTTTTGTTTTTTTGTTTTTTTGAGACAGTCTCACTACTGCTGAAATGCAGTAGTGCAATCTTTCTTACTGCAACCTCGACCTCCTGGATTTTAACAATTCTCCTGCCTCAGCCTCCTGAGTAGTTGGGATTACAGGTGTGTACCATCACACCCAGCTGATTTTTGTATTTTTAATAGAGGCGAGGTTTCGACATGTTGGCCAGGCTGGTCTCAGGGCTGTGGCTTCATTAAATAACACTGAGAAGTACGAAGAAGAGTGGCCATTATTTTTTTGATTTTGAGACAGAGTCTTTCTCTGTCACCAGGCTGGACTGCAGTGGTGTGATCTCGGCTCACTGCAACCTCCACCTCCTGGGTTTAAGCAATTCTCCTGCCTTAGCCTCACGAGTAGCTGGGACTCCAGACACGCACCACCACGCCTAGCTAATTTTTGTATTAGTAGAGACGAGGTTCCGCCATGTTGGCCAGGATGGTCTCAATCTCTTGACCTCGTGATCTGCCCGCCTCGGCCTCCCAAAGTGCTGGGATTACAGGCATGAGCCATCGTGCCTGGCCTATTTATTTATTTTTTTTTTGAGACAAGGTCTTACTCTGTTGTCCAGACTGAAGTGCAGTGGTGATCCTAGCTTCACAGCAGCCTCAACCTCCCGGGCTTACGCGATCTTCCTACCTTGGTCTCCCAGGGTGCTGGGATTATGGGCGTGAGCCACCACACCCAGCTGCTACTATTTTTCTTGGTCACTTATGCATTCCCTTAATCGATGCCCCTTACTTACCCATGCCGTAGCTCCCTCCTCACCTCTGATTGGGACTATTCTGAATTCCTTCTGCGCCGGTCACCTTTGTTCTTCCATGTCGTTATTGATCATATCCTAAGCACTTCCACCACACGTGACTGCCTTCAGCCCCGAGGGCCACCCTCAGTGAGCTTACATTTTCCCAGTTTACAGAAAGCAAACCAAGATGCCAACTTGCCCAAGATCTCCTAGGTGGCAGGTGAAAAGCCAGGATTTGGGCTGGGCGAGGTGGCTCACGCCTGTAATCCCAGCACTTTGGGAGACTGAGGCACACGGATCACAAGGTCAGGGGATTGAGACCATCCTGGCCAACATGGTGAAACCCTGTCTCTACTAAAAATACAAAAAAAATTAGTGGGGTGTGGTGGTACACGCCTATAGTCCCAGCTACTTGGGAGGCTGAGGCAGGAAAATCGCTTGAAGCTGGGAGGCAGAGGTTGCAGTAAGCCGAGATCCAGCCATCGCACTTCAGCCTGGGCAACAGAGTGAGACCCTGTCTCAAAAAAAAAAAAAGTCAGGATTTGAACCCAAGTCTTTTGATCATAGGAAACCTCCCTTTCATTTACTCAATACCAAGACCAGCTTGGCTGTAGAGACCCCCACCCAGGTGGCGCTGAAGGCTTTAAGAAGCAGACACCCAGATAGAACAGCAAAGTGGGACTATCCGGGGGCCAACAGCCTTCCGAGCTGAGAGCCTCAGGAGCTGTCAGAACTCCGGGCTGAGGGCCTCGAGCAGACGCTGCCCCATGTAGTTATTCTCTCTGAACAGGTGATTATTATTAGCAAATAGGTGTTCTGTGTTTTCTCATAGAACCAAGATAAACTAGGTGGGCAGCTGGTGCCTGCTTACCACTGATCACGGACAAACTAGAAAGTATTCTCCACGAGGGAGCCCTGGGGACAGGTCACATAACCCTCGCCTGAAGGATTGTTTTAACCGGTGTATCATATACATATGCTGTCTTAGTACTTTAGAATGCCCCAAGCAGTTTTCCATTGCAGGGGGGGGCAAGGGGCAATTGGGGGGTGGGGAGGGTGGTGGGGGGGTGGGGGTGGGGTAGGGGGTGGGAGGTGGGATGGCCAGGTTTTCCTTGCTGTCGTTCTTCTTAGCAAACAATATAATGTTCTCGTACACTCAGCATTTCTCAACAACTCAATAAGTTTTCTTGGGCACCTGCTCTGAGCCCGACATAGCACTAAGTGCTGGGGTGAGGACAATCCCCCACTCCTACAGCTCAGGTCTGGTGAGCAGGACAGGCACTGAAATAAACAATCACCCTATCGCCCTACGGTGGGGGGAACACCTGTGTTTAAAATCCAGGTGTTTGTCCTGGGTTTTGAAGGCTGAGAAAGAGTTCACCTGGGGAACCAAGTCAGGGAGGCGTGGGGATTTTGTAACCTGACAGTGTAGCCTGTGCTGATGGGAAGACACCTGGGAGGTGGAAGCAATTTGGCGTGGTTGGAGGACCAAGTTCAAGGATGCTGGCACGGAAGGAGGGGGTGTGGACAGGGGAGGTCAGGTCATCACTAGTATCTTCCGTGCTACTAGAGGGTTTTGGATTTTACCCTGTGGGTGATGGCAGCGACTGCAGGGTTTCAGCAGGGAAGTGACGTGGTGAGACTCATTCTTTCCACCAGATACGCGTGTCTATAATGAATTAGAGACACAAAGTGGACGGCACATCCAGGGAGCTCACTTACATTCATGTGGGGAGTCAGACAAGGAAATAAAGATGGAAACGGGACTATCCTCGCCTGCGCCCAGGGACCCAACCATCCCACCCCTGAAAATCTATCCTTAATGGAGACTTGCAAAAAAGCCATTCATGCTATTATTCACAGCAAAATCCAGGAGAAAATGCAAATGCCCATCATTTGGGGATTGGTTGACTAAACCAGTGCTATTCACACAACGGAGAACTGCAGAAGGAACAATCTCTAGGTTACTTTTTTTTTTTTTTTTTTTTTTTTTTTTTTGAGATGGAGTTTTGCTCTGTCACCCAGTCTGGAGTGCAGTAGTATGATCTCAGCTTACTGCAACCTCTGCCTCCCAGGCTCAAGGGATTCTTCTGCCTCAGCCTTCTGAGTAGCTGGGATTACAGATGTATGCCACCAACGCCATGGCTAGTGTTTGTATTTTTAGTAGGGATGGGGTTTAGCCATGTTGGCCAGGCTGGTCTCGAACTCCTGACCTCAGATGATCCGCCTGCCTTGGCCTCCCAAAGTGCTGGGATTACAGGCAAGAGCCATTGCCCTTGGCCTCTAGGCTACATTTTTAAGGCTGAAAAAAGTGATTTTACAGATGGCACAAGAAGAGTTAGAAATAGGAATATAGTTAAGTCTTTGTTTATGTTTCCAAGCACAAACAAGGGAAAAAGAAACCAAAACTAAATTAAAATGGTTTTCTAAAAAGAGGAGGCCAGGGAAGTGTGCTGAGGGTAGGGCGGGAAGATGGAGTTTTCTGGAGGTACTCTGTTTGGTAGTTTTAACTTTGGAACATTAGGTTTTACATAATTGTAAAGCAAAATTAAGTACGGAAGGAAAAAAGCATCCCTGAAACATAAAATGCAATTAATGTTTCAACATAAAAATACTGCAGAACAATTGAACAATTGTACACGGGGTGGTGGCGTAAACACAGAAGGACTTTCTTTTTTTTGTCTGGAGACAGAGTTTCGCTCTTGTTGTCCAGGCTGGAATGCAATGGCACAATTTTGGCTCTCTGCAACCTCCGCCTCCTGGATTCAAGCCTTTCTCGTGCCTCAGCCTCCTGAGTAGCTGGGATTACAGGCATGTGCCACCACGCCCGGCTAGTTTTTGTATTATTAGTAGAGATGGGATTTCTCCATGTTGGTCAGGCTGGTCTCGAACTCCTGACCTCAAGTGATCCGCCCGCCTCGGCCTCCCAAAGTGCTAGGATTACAGGAGTGAGCCACCACACCCGGCCACAGAAGGACTTTTTCATGTTATTTTAGACACATGATTTTTCATTTTGTACTTGGTGCAGTATATCCTAAGGACAAGAAGAAGTACCAAGGAATCTTAAACAGTACTTAGGAGTCTTTGTAGTAATGATACTGGTATTGTTATTTTGAAATTGTGTGTGTGAGTGCAGTTACTATACTCTACGACTACATGTGCACAAATAATTATGTTAATGTCCTTAGCAACCAGATTTTCAGCATAAAAACAGAGACCCAAATTTAAAAATTAGGCTGGGCTTTGTGGCCGACACCTTTAATCCCAGCACTTTGGGAGGCTGAGGCAGGAGGATCACTGGAGCCCAGGAGTTCAAGACCAGCCTGGGTAACACGCGAGACCTCGTCTCTACAAAAAATAAAAATTTATCCAGGCATACTAGTCCATGCCTGGGTCCCAGCTACTTAGGAGGCTGAGGTTGGAGGATTGCTTGGGCCTGGGAGGTGAAGGCCACCATGAGCTGTGGTTGCATTGCTGCAACCCAGCCTGGGTGATGAAGCAAGACCCTGTCTCAAAAAGAATTTTTTAAAGCTAGATAAAAACCCTGTAATCATAAATTTAGAAATATCAGTAT